CCGTGCGCGGAGCGCGGGGCGCGTCGCCGCCGGCGCTGCGAGGGTCTGCCCGGCGAGGAGGAGGGTGAGCGGGCGGTGCTTGACCGGCTTTCAGGGGGGCTGCCTGGGGCTGACTGTCTTTGTCTCCTCCTCTGGGCAGCCTGTGGGTGCTCCTTCACCCGAAGGTCCGCTGGGTTTCCTGCGCTGCCCGTGGAGCTCCCTCAGCCGCGGGGCTGGTCCCGCCAGCTTGCTGTCTGTGCTGCTGAAATAATGCAGCGGAGATGATAGCCGAGCCCAAAGCAGCCAGCAGCCTCCCCAGCCACAGGTGAGGCTTGGCACAGGCTGCCGGTGAAATCTGTGGGTCAGCCAGGGCGCTGTCCCTTGAATCTGTGCCCTGCAGATACCGGAGCACTCTACAGTGTGTCATTTTGGGTGGGTGGGGATAAAAACAGGGATTTGTTATGGACTAAGTCTCGTTACTGGTGTTCAGCATCTTAATGTAGTTTTTCATGCCGATTGACATGGACCTTGGCCTTACAAGCTTTTCTGTGCCTTATTCACTACAGTGCAAATGAGCCTAGCTTGGGAAAAAAAAAAATAAAAAGGGCAGATTCATAGTGCACATGTTCATGTCAGTGGTGAATTTGGGGTGTGCTGAGAGGGAAGAGTGCTAAGGAATCTGTAGTCTCCTTGTTGGCATTGTGGGGGGCATTGCTTATCTGTAGCTGTTTTTACCTAGGATACATCAATCTTTTCCCTTTCATAGTATATATTTTCAGTCATCTGTTGAAATGATTTATGAAAGAAATATATTCATATAATCGTCTACAGAATTATATTTGGCAGTAGAAGGAGCACATGTAAATAATTAAATGGTAAAGTTAAAACATTTGGGTATATCTTGTCTAGTTTCAAAGAATGAAGCTTCCTAGATGGTTGCATGCTTTGGACTCATTGCAGCCCAATTTCTGCTGGTGCTGTCACCTTCTGAGCAGATCTGCTCCAGGTTTTTCTCTTGTTTGTTAAACCCTAATGAAAGATGAGAGATGTATTCTTCCTGGTCCATTATGACAACTGATATAGCTTCCCATACATCCTTTCCAGTATGTTTGTTGGAAGCCAGCCTCTTAATTTCAGAAGTGCCAGGAAGGCACCTGGCAGTTGTTCAGCTGAGAATGTTACTTCTAAAAGATGAAGTAGTTGTATGGAAATTTATAATTTTAAATATCTGCAGGTATGATTCTTCCAGTAATAGAGAATAATTGCTCCTTCTACACAGCTAAAGGAGTATGTTTTCTTTGTTAAAGAGGTGGCTTTGTTTTTAAGTTGTTAAATTTGCTCCCAATGTTTATTAAGATCAGAAAACTGAATTCAGAAATTCTCACAATAATATTGTGTCTGAGAACTAGTTAAATGGCTTTGTGTCCTTCCTACTTTAAGTGTTCTTATCTCATCAGTAGTACTTCCAAGTGCTAGGGAAAGGACCATTCTGTGTTAGGAACCTGTGGTAAAACAGTCTGTGAATTAAGAGACAGAAATGGAATTCTGCCTGTGCTTTCTTACTGATTGCTGATGGAAACAAAGTAAGTAGCCAAGAATTGTTTCTTACCAGTGCAAGAGGCAGTTAATTTAGGAGTGTAAAATGCTCAGTATGCTGTAGATTAACAGAAGGGAGAAAAAAAAAGTTCAAACTTTATCCAACCTGTTGGTGCACTGATGTAGTTGAAAAGGTCTTAAATGAAGCTATGTGTAAGGATTGCTGCAGAAGTGGTCACGTTATCCTCAGCTAGTTACAGTGGTGCCTATTTCACTCAAGAAGACAAGAGGATGCCTTAACTTTTTTTTACAGTTTCTTCAACAGAAACCTGGTTGTGCATATAAAAAATCCATTAGAAGATGTCAATTTCTGAGTGGTTTCATGGGGTTCAGTTTGTAGACTGTGGTCTAGTTCCTGCAAATGTTTAAGTACTCGCCTTGCGAATAACCCTACTGGAAACATCAGTATTAAAAGTAGGGGGTGAGTGAAGAGAAAGGAGAAATATGGGTATTGATAATATCTACTATCTGGATTTAAAAAGTCTCTACTTTGGGTAGGTTATCTGTTTTAGCACAGTGCTTCCTGTGTCATTGCTATGTAATGTGGTGCCCTAATAACCAAAACAGTTCAGAAACTGAATGGATTTTTAGTGTCTGGTGCTTACATCTGTTGAGTGTTTAAGCCAGCTGTTTGGTGTGTGTGTGAAAGTTTCTCTGGTGACTGGTTTCCTCACAGAGATGTTTTACTTGGCGTTGTTAGCCCAGCATGAGGAAGCTGTGGACTAGTGGTCGTCTTCTCATTCTTGCAGGTTTTGCTGAGCTTTGGTAAGCCTGCTGTTCCAAATGCCAGGCATTAGCTGACTTTGTTGAGCCCCTCTCACTACAGGTACCTTTTGCCTGGCATAAACTGACTAAGTAGCCAAGGGCCAGTAGGTACCACCTGTAGTGCCATCCTTCAGGATGTTCTTGGGCAAGAGTTGCATGAGTTAAAGCTTCAATGAATATGTTCTGGACAGAGGTATTAAAAGGAGTACATGATCAGACAAGTACTTGACTGAACTGTTCTGCAGCAGTTCTGATTATTTTGTTATTTAAATGCTTTAATTTGGCTTGAACTCAGTTACAGTTGCTGTAAACAAATGAAGTGCATTTGTTTTCTTTATAGAAGGGAGTAGACTGCTGAATAGTACATGCCAACAATTCAGGCAAATTGTTTGAGAATGTGTTTGAGCTTTATCTTGAGCTATAATGGAGAAACACACGTTACCACGACGTTGGCTGGCGTCTGAGCTGTGGTTCTAGTGAAACACTGCAAGCAAGGACCTGTTAGTCCTGTACAGCCCTGTAATGTTGCACTCTGCTTTGAAATCGAGAGTGAAAGCATTTAGTCGCATAGGAGAAGCAGGTCCTTGGCAAACATGTTTGGATTCTTCCTGTTTACTTGTGGTCTGTAGGAGAATCTGGGAAGTCAGGAAAGCAAGACGTGCTGCTGTCGTCTGCTGCTCGTTCTTTCCAACCAGGAAGTCTCTGGTGATGCTTCCTTGAGATACTTAATCTATGTGGCTTGCAATTACAAATCAAAGGAAACATCTGAATACTTTTGCAAACTCTTGTTTGTAGCATGCTGACTCAGTTGTGAATTATAGTTCATTCCTCTCTTTTGTAACATGCAGAAGTCCAGACAACTGATGTAGAGATTGGTTCATCCTGAATTATTTTCGTGGCTTCCATCTGTCAAGCACTGCAGCACATTTTGAACTTTTCTATGACAAGATGTTCATTGAACTTAATTTCCATGGTGCTTTTTTTCTGTAGGGAAGTTCAGCAATTCCAAGATAGCATTTAGAAATTTGATGCATTTATATAGGATTTTTATAGGAGTCTTTGGAGGCCTAATTGTATGCTGCTTACTGTGAAGTGTCCCAATAGTTTCAAAAAGTAGACAGAGATGTGTTTAAATAAAATTTTCTGTCTGGTCTCACTGATGAAATAACATCAGGACCTCAGTCCTATTCAGCCTCAGGATTTGCTTTGCAGAGGCAATGTCTGACTGAAACAGTTTGGGAAAAAGAATAAGAGTGCTTATCTGACATTGATCAAGCTCGCTGGGGTTGAGCTGGCTCTGCACCCACAGCACAGTTAGTTCTCCAACTGGGTATTGGAGAGTTGACTATTATCTGACAGCGTAAAATGGTTTCCTCCTGAAAGGAGGTTGTAGAGAGGTAGGTGCTTGTCTCTTCTCACAAGAAACTAGTGACAGGACAAGAGGGAATGGCCTCAAGCTGCACCAGGGGAGGTTTAGACTGGACATTCAGTTCTTTCACTGAAAGGGTTGTGAGGCACTGGAATGTGCTGCCCGGGGAGGTGGTTGAGTACCCATCCATGGATGTGTTTAAAAGCTGTGTAGATGTGGTGCTTGGGGACATGGCTTAGAGGTGGATTTGGTAGAGTAGGGTTAATGGTTGGACTTGATGATTTTAGAGGTCTTTTCCATCCAAAGCGATTCTGTGATTCTATGATTCTATGTAATACACTGTTGTTTTCTTTGTAGAGTGGTCACTTGTATTAGCATGCTTTCTTGTTGCAGCAGTCTCACAAACACAAAAGTAACTGTACACTCTCATATTTACTTTCTTTTTATGCCTTCTTGTAGTACAAGTCAACTGGCTTCACGTTCTGGCCACTGTAGTTTAAAAGGAGGCTGTAACAGCCAGCTACCAGTACTGGACCTTCTGCACAAGTGGGATCCAGCTCTCCTGCTCAGACATGACCTTTGGCAAGGCACATTGTTAGCATTGGGAATGATGAAAAGTGGCATGATTTCATTGCAGATCAGTGTATGGCTTCAGATCTCCCAGAAAGTGCATCTTTATTTATCAAGTTATTCTTCCATCATTTCAGCAATGACCTGCAAATGAAATTTCTTACATCTTTTTTCTTCAGCATGTTTTATAGGCAAAGTAAAATGTCTGTTTCCTCTCATTTTAAATTGTAGACTCATTGGATGTTATTACCTTGTTTTTTTGTAGTTCACCCACAAAGTGAATGCACAGTTGTTATTCATTCATGGTGCAAAGCTCTTAAGTCAACAAAGGCTGCCTTAAGTCAACATCAGCTTTCTGTTTCATTTCCTTACTTTCTACTTCCTTGAGATCTTTGATAGTTTTGTTAGTCTTCTGATTATCAGTATGTCTTACAGGAAAGCAAATAGTTTGGAAAAGGCCCTGAATTTCTGTTGTACTTTGAAAGTTAGCCATTTGATTTTTCGTAACAAAATGACATAGCTTCCAAAAGATTCATTAGAAGTATTAAAATACACATATAGATGCTTTTAGTTTGTTCTGTTGTTGGTACTGAAGTTTGAAGCTGTGTTCTCATTGCTCACCCCTTTGCTACTCCTCAGGGAGAACGCTGTCCACGATGAGACTGTGCCTGAGTCTGCTGTGCAGAACAGCAGCTGTGTGAGGAGTGGCAACCTGAAAACACCAGTAAGTGGATAGTATTACTTATTTAAATGGAATTTTTGTCCTGTCTCATTCAGTTGTTACAAAATTGAGTACTGAATAAAACAGTCACAATACGATGCATCTAAAAATCTAGTCACTGGATACAGCCTGACCACTAAATTCTGTTGGCATCACAGCCTCAGTGCTGGCCTTAGAGCAGTCAGTTCAGTTCAGTGTGTATTTTCCTTAGCTGTGTGTTGTATGCAGCTGATGTTAAGCCGCAGGTTATGTGTTTACTCTATGAGTGAGAAGGTGTAGAAGAGCTTCTGTGCTTGCTGTCTGTGTTTCAGAAATTACAGCTGCCACTGAAAAATGCCTTCTGGGTAGTACATGGCTGTTCAGAAGCTTCTTTCATGTTATACCTTCGATTCATTGATGACTGAAAGTACTAACCAGTAAATCCTTTCTTTCATCCCATTCTAGCACGGTCATAATTGATAAGGCTTTACCAGTGTCCCCAGTCTTAAAAGTTAGCTCCCTGGGAAATGATGACAATGAGAGTAGAACAACCTTGTTGTCAGGGTGTGGTTTGTGTACGTGCGAACGGCTGCTGTGTTGTCTTCTCTCACTTGCTCTCTTTGCTTGGCTCATTGCAGAGGGAGAAGCGGAGGGTCCGAAAGCGGAGTGAAAACATCAGGAGAAACTCCTCCAGCAGCAGGAGAGTGAGCAGGCTGCAGAATGGAGACGTGGTTGAGGCAGTAACGCTGTTTGAAGTGGTTAGCATGGGGAAGCAGGCCATGCAGGTATTTCTGGCTCCGAAATCTGAGAGGAGCTGGTGGAGGGAAGATGGATAAACAGTGGTCATTGCAGTTATTCATGCTCTGGAGCATAGGAACTCTTAGTCTGGCTTGGCATAGGTGGGGAAGAAACATGTTTGATTGGAGAACTTTTACAGGCATGACTCTCTTGAAAAGAAGGGATCTTCAAGAAATTAGTGAAAAAACTAGCTATTGTGTATTTAAAAAGAAGAAGGAAATACTTACCTAAATCAGTCATTCTACAGCAATATCTGAGTACGTGAGAAGAGAATTATTTTTAAAAATACAGAAAGGGTTCATTGGTAGAAAATTGTGGCTGTTCAGGATTCTGAAAATCAGTCCACTTTTTTTTTCTTGAGTTTGCCTTTTGGTATTTTTCTTTTACCTCCATTCCAATACAGTTTGCAGAATACTCAGGTTCCTTGTATGAATATATAGTTAGCCACTTTCTTCAGTGTGTGGAAGCCTACCTCCCCATACTCTGTGAGCATGTGTGTATATTATCTTTATTTATGTGTTTGAAGGATTAAAATCTGGAGCCCCAAGTACGTTTGTATGTATGGTTATACATATATCTCTCATATGCAGTGTCTGTAAGCAAAGTGTGTGTCTCCACACACATGGAAAGGATGTTTATGTTTTGGATGCGAGATCTTCGTTTTTCCAAAATGTTTGAGTGGATGGACTTTTACCACACCATAGATGTTTTAACTTGCATGGAATTGAAGAGCTCAATTTCTGCTGTGCAGAGCATGATGAGAAGGGCTTGTAAAGGCAGCAGCTTGAGTCCAGGCTGCTGCTGCTAGGATTCATTAGACCTCTGTGACACTACAGGTGGGTTGAAGCCTCGAAGGCTTGTCCCAGCAGGCCTGTGTCACATGCAGGCTATAGGCTGTACTGCCCTAGAAATGAAATTTGGAGTTGTTTTTTAGCTTAAGTGTAGCACCTGAACTCTTTAGCCTTCTGCACAAAGCAGGTACTAGAGAAGAAGATGAGAACTCTCAAGGACAATTGGTAATATTATTTTAATATTAATTATTAGGTGTTGCAGAGGTAGATATGTTTGGGGTTTTTATTTGTAGGTTTGATTTTTTTTTTTTTGTAAGTGAAACTGTTACCTCAGTGCTGGCAAAAAATGAGAAGGATGATGTCGTGTTTTTTTGTGTATTAAATTTATTAAAACTGTGGTTGTTTTTCCTGTTAACAGGGGAACAAAGTATCTGAGAATGGCAGCATTGCTTAGAGCAGAACTTGTGAATGAGCAGTTCAAGACTTCATTTTGCCTCAGAAGGAGTCTTTTGCATGTACTATTAGAAATGGAACAAAATGGTGTGGAGTTTATTCTCAGTTTTATAGTTTAATGGAGGTAGAAAAATGTTATGTTGTGTCTATTACAATGACCTCAGTGGAGTGCCACATGCTGTCTTCAGCTCTTGACTAATGAGTTTCTTTGATCTGTTGTAGTCTGTAGTAGATGACTGGGTTGAAGCTTACAAACAAGACAGGAATGTGGCACTTCTAGATCTGATCAACTTCTTCATTCAGTGCTCAGGCTGTCAAGGTAATTTAACCTATTATTAGCCATTTCTATTGTCTGTGGGTGAGAGTAGTATAAAGTGTGCTTCCTAAAATGGAATTTTTCTCTCAAGTAAATCACATACTTATTATCTGTACTGTTTTGTTAAGCCAAACTCCAGATGAGCAGGACTAATAGCAAAAAATATTGCTGGTTAGGTTCTTTGGCTCTGTGTTTACAGCATCCCAACTCTCAGTGTTGTATTTGAACCCACTTGGCGAGGTCAGGTTTCTGAAGTCGTGTGTCACATCACTTTGCAAAATCCCCACATAGGGAAGATGATTTTGATGACTGTTCTAATTAAAATCCAGTGGTTTAGTTGCGATTTGTTTTGTAATTTCCTAGTATCTTTTGTTTTGCTAGTGTATTTGCTTGGAAGTGAACAGCTAGCAATTTAAGCTCACTGCTTTGTTGGCTAGAGGAGCAATCTCTTGCCTCGTTGCAATTACTTTTACCAGAGGGTTGTGAAGCTTCCTAACAAACACTGAGACACAGTGATTTGACTTCTGGGGACAGTCTGCTAGGGAAATGCTTCAGGATGGAAGAGCTTTAAGAAGTCTGTTCTATTAGTTTGAAACTTCTGAGTGTATTTAAGAAGCTAGACTGTACCTTTTACACTTCACATTTTTATCCAGGTCTTTGACTGGTTGGACTCAATGATCTTAAAAGCTTTTTCTAGCTGAAAAGAATCTGTGACTAATATGCCTTATGGGAAATGTTTTGGGGTCTTTGACTAGTAGTGGGCAAAATTTTAGTAAATCTTTGAAGTAAATAAATGGACAGAGAAAATAGGCATGGCAGACAGCATAGGGCAAATTTCTCTAATGAGAATTTAAATTTTGGTTCATCGGTGTTTTCTACTCTAAATGAATGTGTGTCTCCCTCTGTGTATGTTGCCCATACCAGTGTAAACGGAGATAAACCAGTCCCTGTTTCTTGGTGTTTCTAAGTTTAAAATTTACGTCCCTATTGTGGTTTGGATTTGGCTAACGCAATACGGTTGTTGGTAACTTTTCTTGTTAAAACATCACTTTTCTAGGCATGGTAACAGCAGAGATGTTTCAAAGTGTGCACAAGAAGGACGTCATGCGGAAAATGACAGAGACCTTTGATGAGGTAGGCACAGCTTTGACTCTGCATGCCTCTTTTATATGAACAATGGGCTCTGCCTTCACAGCCAACCTGGACAGAGTTCCTGCTGCTTGTCAAGGACTGTGTCCCATTTCCTTAATTTAGGAAAATGATCCTGTTTCTTGCAAGGGAATTTTGGTGTTGTAATGACCCATTTTAGCAGCAGAAGGAGATATATATATCTTTTTTTTTTTTTTGGTAAGTCACTTCTATTTTCAGAGTTTTATTAGGGCAGTCTTAGTTCCAGTCCTCCTGAGTCTGGCTTTCTCTTAGGAGTTCTTTTGATAGTGACTTTGTAGAGGTAAGTATAGCCTGGCATTGCAGCAGGTAAACGGCTCCTTTGGTATTGCATTGCTAGATGCTTTTAAAAATACTGTTGTGGATTACTGATGAGCTAATTCAAAGATTCTTTTTAACTGATCTTTTTATTGGCATATTTTCCTTTTGTTTATTAACAATATGACTTTTTGTAAATTGTTTGAATTGTCAATTATTAATTGACATTACCGTATGAAAGAAGTTACATACATTTCTGATTAATTTCTTATGCATTTCTGATAATTGTCAAAACAATAGTGAATGTCTAATTTTTTGAGGCTTCTTAAGAAAAATGCATAGTTTTGCAATACTGTTTCTCGGTTTCACTGCTTCTTGGCTAATTATGCCAACATCAAATTTTCTGTAGTGCTCTCACAGTTGCTTCTGTGCCTTTTTTCTGTATTTGCCACCTCTGAATTGATTTGTCAAGTAGGAGCCATCAGCCCTGTTTTAATTGAGTATCTCTCAAAGACCAGCTGCTGTAGAAATTCCCAGCGAGGATGAATTTGCCAACATGGTTTTCTTCATTTTAGAAGTGTAGTAGCACTTAGGCTAATTTTTGACAGAAATGATCAGATGTGTCTGGCCATATGAATTAGTATTCTGGCACTTCTTTCCCAGCTAAATGAGCTCTGAATAACACTCTTGACAGGGTAGGCCCTCTGGAAGGTACAAAGATAGGATTATTGTTATCATCAGCCTGGATGTGCTGCAGCTCTGTAACCTTTTCACCTGTCCTGGTGGGAAAAAAGGAACATTCCACACTTGCCTTACAAGCTGTAGTCTGCATGCTATAAAACAGAGTAGCTTTGTTTTGGGGGCAATATTTTGACATGCTGCTCTATTGAAGCATTTTACTGATGGAAGGAAGAGATAATCCTTGTGTTAGAAAACTGTGTCTCTATTTTTCTTTCTAATTTTTTAAATTTTCTTTCTAATATTTTTAAAGACAATTTCTGTCAGCTTGTTTTAAAAAAAAAGTGTCTGAAGCTACAATTTTTGTTAACTGCATGTGATTGAAAAAATGCTTGAGGATTAAAACGATTTCTTTTAAAGCAGAACTCTGATAAGAGCAAGAGCAGTTTGTTATTTTCAAGTGAGTTGTTTCCTTGGACTCATCATTTTCATAAATAAGATGGAATGGTAACTTAGTGATGAAGTTAGTTGATGAAGTAATGCTATACAGAACTACTGTGATTTTTTGAAAATGTGCTTTGAAAACAAGTGATAATAGTAGTGAAAGTAGTAATGAGAATGGAGAATTTACCAGATATCTCCTTGGGTACCTCATCTTGCCTTTTGATTTGTATTGTTTGTTTAAAGCATTCAGAGGATTGGAAAATCAAATGTTTTTCTTTAGTTCTGCATTCTTGATCTTTTCAGTGATGTAACTGTTGCTTTACTGTTCCATTAACTAACTGCAATGCTATATCCATGTAGCAGTGCTTCCTCCAAAAATCTCACTAGTGTTAGTGGGAAATGTTAATGGAGTGGAGTCTGGCAAGAAATGTGAAGGGCAACTGGAAAAGATTCTGCAAATGTATCAACAGCAAAAGGGAGACCAAGGAAAACATGGGCTCTCTGTTAAACGGGGTGGGGGCCCTGGTGACAAAGGACACGGAAGAGACTGAGGTACTCAGTGCCTTCTTTGCCTCTGTCTTTACTGGTAAGACTGGCTTTCAGAAACACCAGATTCCTGAGCAGAGGGAATGTCTGGAGCAAAGACTGCTTGCCTTCCGTGTAGGAGGATCAGGTTAGGTAACACTTAAATAGACTGAACACATGTAAGAGAGTGTGGTGTGACAGCATGGACCCAGGAGTGCTGAGGGAGCTGGCTGATGTCATCGTGAGGCCCCCTTTGATTATCTTTGAGAGGTCATAGTGACTGAGAGGGATTCCTGAAGACTCAAAGAAAGCAAATGCCTTCAAGAAGAGCTAGAAGGAAGATCTGACAAACTCAGGCTGGTCAGACTCTCCTTGATCCTCGGGAAGGTGATGAAGCCACTAATTCTGGAAATAAAGTCCAAAGACATGAAGGGCAAGAAGGTGATCAGGAGTATCCAACATGGATTTCCAAAGGGGAAATTAGGCTTAACCAACCTGATGGCCTACTGTAACAAAGTGACTAACTTCGTGGTTGAGGAAGGAGCAGTAAGACTTCAGTAAAACTTAATCCTGTCTCCCATAATATCCTCGCAGACAGGCTGATGAAGTGTGAGTGAAGTGGGCAGTGGAGTGGACTGAAAACTGCCTGAACAACCAGGCCCATGTGGTTGTGATCAGGGGCACAAGTCCAGTTGGAGGCTAGTCACTAGTGGTGTACTCCGGGGTTTGCGGTTTGGGCCAGTACTATTTAACAGCTTTGACAGTGACCTGGGCAATAGGGCAGAGTGTGCTCTTAGTGAGTCTGCAGATGGTAAAAAACTGGGAGGAGTAGCTGCTAGACCAGGTGGTGGTAAAAAACTGGGAGGAGTAGCTGCTAGACCAGGTGGTGGTTCTGCTGTTCAGAGAGACCCCAACAGACTGGAGAGCTGGGCAGAGGAGAACCTCATCATGTTCTATAATGGGAAACCTCATTAACTTGGGGATGAGTAACCCCATGCACCACTGCACACTGGGAGTGGACTGGTTTGAATAACACTTTTGCTGTGAGGGTGATCAAACAGTGGGACAGGTTGCTCAGAGAGGTTGTGAAGTCTCCATCTGTGACAAAATTACAAAGCTGATTGCACATGTTGTCACCTGACACTGAAGGGACAGTTCTTCTAGAGATCCTTTGCAGGATGATGGTGGTGCTAGTTGTAGTTAAAATTAAAGCTTTATTTTTGTAACAGGATGTTATGATTAATATAGCCAGATTTTATGATCAGAACGGCACAGGATTTCTACAAGCAGAATAAACATAGTAACATAATACAGAATTTATAATACACAACTTATGGTTTCTAATCACCTAAGTAATACAGAATTTATTACACAATTTAGTCTATAATTTCTAGAAAATCAGCTAGACCCTCTGGAGATCAGGTCCAATCTTAATATGTGGTTTGCTGTATCAATATAACAATTATAATCTAGACTTGAAAATTGTGTAGAAGAATATGAGTCACTCAGTCCTCAGAGGAAGCAGATGATGGTGGAGTTGTCCTTGCACTGGGGAGTAATGGGTTTCACCGTCCAGCAGCAGCTCTGGTCCATGTTCCACATTTAGGCCTTGTAACCACTTGGTTTTCATGGGTGGTGCTTTGGGTGCTGTGACACTTCCCTGTTCTGTGACTGGTTCGTCACCATCATCTGGCTGGCTGGGTGCCTGGGACCTTCAAGGCCAGTAGGGAGAGGAGTGATCAGCCTGGTGCCCAGGAACCTTGGAGCCAGTAGGGAGGGGAGGAAGAAATCTCTCTTTTGTTTGCTTGGTTCACAGGACCTTCAGGGCCTGGTAATGAGGGAAAGGGAAGGCAAGTGTGACCTGCTTGGTCACAGAGAGTGGCTGCTTGCCTCATAAAATGGTATTAATTGTGCTGACTACATTACCAGGGTTTGGGAGCAGGGGCTGCTGGTCACATGGCACTGGGCAGCCTGCTCTGGCTGACCCGGCTTGAGCTGACGAGGTTGGATTAGATGATCTTAAAGAGTCCCTCTCAATTTCAGTCTTTCTTTGGTTCTGTGAAAGCTTGTACTGGCATTGGAAGCAGAGAATGGCTTTAATATGATCCTTGAGGCATTTATTTCCTCTTTGTGGGCTATGGTATTCATCAGTGGAGAGATAGGCTTGTCTTTACAACCACTGCTTTTCTGTTTTCTCTGTTTCTTAAACTGTTCTGTATCTTTCTTTTGGTTTTCTTTGTGTATGTGTAATTTTATTTCTTGCAGTTGTTTTTTATAAATTTAAAAAATAAGTTGTCTTTTACTTGTAGCAAGAAAACTGACTCAGGGTTTATATAAAAGTATGTTATTTTTCTATCATTGGTTATAAAAAAACCCAAACACCAAAATGAGAAGGAATTAGATTTTGTTTAATGCATTGGATTGCATGAGCCACCTGTAATATAAATTTTCTTAAGTTTTAATAACCTTTAGAATATGAGTTATGATTTGTGATGCTTTTGTCTTTGTGAATTAATGTGCCTTTTCATCAAACAGCTTTTAAAGTTTTGTCTCTTGCATTACAGGAAAGCGGGTTGCAGTATAAGAAGTTCATGGCCTACCCTTGGATCCTGACAGTTACATGGCCAGTGGACATGGTAGGACTCTTATAGTTCTCTGCAACTGTAGGATGTTATTTTCTGTGGCTGTGTTGCCTGTTCCCAGTGTGGGTGAATACATCAGAACAGTCACCTTAAACTCTGTTACCGAATGGAGATAACCCTGCACTTCCAGGGTCGGCTTCTCTGGTCTTTTTTTGACCTTAGGTTTAGATGAACACGTGATTTTGAAGTGCCTGTTTCCCACTATTGATGTCAAAGGGACATCAGCATTTTGAACAGACTGGTGTATGTCAAGTTGTGGTGGTGTTCAGGAATGTTCCTCATCCCTTCCAGCAAGTCTACACCCACAACTCTGTGTGACCCTAAATGTTTGATTGAAAGAATAATTTGAGAACAGACCCAAATGTCTCTGTAATGCCTCTTTTCATACAATGCTTGCAGCGTTGTGGGGCATTTGTTTTAACTCCTTGTTGGCACTTCATTTTGATGTTCCTCTCTTTCCAGAGCCCCCCTATGAAAGAAAGAAACATTTGCAGGATGAGTCAGAGCAGGAGCCTCAGCTGAATGATTTGAATAGGTCTCTGGAAGAACCTGTGTTAAATACCTACTCTGACTTGGTTTGTGGAAGTAGAGTTGCTTCTCTCTAGTGGTTATGGAGGGAATCTAAGGGAATCCCAGGATAGGTGCATGAATTAAGGTGGTGTGCCCATTGTGCTGTCTGTGTATTTACAGTACGCATGTTACCACTAAACAGTATCCCCATAGGATAAACATAGACAGTGGAAATGCTCTTAAATAGTGAGGTGTCTTTCTGTATTTGTGCTGCTTTTCAGACTGAGGAGTAAGGTTATGGTGATAAATTAGCTCTTTTATGATATTGTAGGTTCTTTCTACTGTCTGTGTCATAATCAAGGAACATTAAATGGAGCCTGCTGGGGACTTACCTTTTTGTCTTAGCATGTCCTACTGCTGCTAGGCTCTGAACTGACTCTTACAGCCTGATCAGGAACACATCCCAAATTCCCAGGGTGCTTAGGCCTGCAGGCATTGCGCATGCTTTTATTTTTCCGAAAAGCAGTGAGTCCTGTCCTTTGGAAACAAAGTTACAAGAGAAGAGCATGGCCTACACTTTACCAGTACATGAGGTCATTCTAGGTGTGAAGCTCTGTTAGAATACAGCTGAGAAGGTGACTGACTAACTAGTGAAGGAACAGCTGAGTAGTGGCCTGCCTTCAGGATGAAATTTTTCATAGTGAGTGAAATTTTGGAGTTCCCTGGCTCTGTTCACTTCTGGAAACTATCAAGATGCAAATTCATGTTCAGAGCTGTCTGGGCAGGGAATGCCAGGAACGTTTGTGAGATGCAAATGAAGTAAATGTTTACACTGCCTGAGGTTGCCATCTACAAAGTCTGCCAGCTGTCTGGGTTCCTTGTGGCAGTAGAGACTGTACTGTGAACGCTCTTGTGGCTTTATTGTAGCTTGCTGTTTTTGCATAATGTCAGAGGTATTACCTATTTACTGTTTCTGTGGCAGTTCTCGGAGGCCTAGGTGCTGGTGGTACAGGTGAATGACTCATATTTGTCATTAAGCTGTAGGCTGATAAACTCCTTAAGGTGGCAGTGCTGCTGAGAAAAAGTGTCCCATCCTGCTCACACCACAGTTGTCTGTTTTCACTTCTCAGTCACTTCAGTTTCCTCCTGGATTTTACCACACACTTGCAGGAACAGGAAGGGCAGGGAAGTGAGGAAGCACTACTCCTGGTGAGGAAGTCGAAGAGGCCAGGAGTGCTCATGGTTTATGCTGGTGAAAGTTATTTATGATGCTGTGGTTTCTTCACAAGCCCTCTCCCACCTTTCTGTTCACAGCTACTCTCATCCATTGCTTTCAGATGTGAATTATCATGACAGTGTAGCTCTAATGAAGCCAGTTTGTCTCTGTGCTTGCTTGTAACCTAGTTGCATGCTCCTGCTTTGGAGTAATAACCCTTAAAAAAGGTATAGGGGGACTGAAGTGACTGTCAATAAAACTCTTTGATATTAATTGGTTGAGATGTAAATGGTATGCACAAACAAAACAGATTAGTATGTTTTCTCTTGACTTTTCTTGTGCAGGACAATGAAGACTATCCACTGATCAGAACTGGACCCTATTGGAAGAAGTTCAAGGCCAATTTCTGTGAATTTATTGCCGTGCTTGTCCAGCAGTGCCAGTGCAGCATCCTGTATGATAGCTACTTGATGGACACTATCATCTCACTGCTTACAGGCTTGGCAGACTCCATGGTCAGAGCATTTAGACACACAAGCACTTTGGCAGGTAAAATAGCTCACAGAGTTGCTGTTCATGAGTTTTGATTTGTGTAGGAAAAAAACCCCAAACAACTGCTCAAAGTTGCAAAGCTCTCTTTATTTGAGCTGTTGTTCTCATATGCATTGACAGTGCCTTCCTCCTAATGTGTGTAACTGTAATACAGACGTGGGAGCAAATCATTTACCTGAGTGGAATTTGGATACTTTAGATATGACAGATCTTTTTTCTTTCCAAAGGTATTTTCTTTAATGCCTGACGTGATTAACTTTAGAATTTTGATTCAGATTATTTTTTTCAATAATTGATTTTTCACACTCAGTTTTCTATTTTGTTATTTTCCTCCCTCCACTAATTAGTGTAATAAGGTTGCTTTAAATGCTTCACCTAAAAAGTTCTCTTTGGAGAGCTGCTGCTCTTGTGATACCTGTGCTAAAAAGAACATTGCTTGTTACATGTTTTTATTTCATGCATAATGATGATATTAAAGCTACTGCTTTATTTTTTTTAATCCCCTAAAGCCAGTAAGTACCCTTTTTGCCATGCAAAGAGCACTTGAAGTATAATTTGTTCTCAAGTACACAATTAGCTTTGAAGGCTCCAAAAACCCAGTTGAAATCTGTGCAGACCATCTGGTGATCCTTAGAGGAACATCAATTTTTGTCAACTCAAGTGAAAGATTAAGATTCTCAGGCTTTTATGGGCCAGTTTCACTGTTGGACTTTGTTTGTTTGTTTGGGGTATTTTGGTAGTGAAAATCACCTGTTCCACCATTCTAGATCCTTTAACAGAAATATCAAAATGACATAAACTAAGAGTTGATCAGTACATTACTTCTCTGCCTAGAACTCTGGCCAAAAGTTGTAAATCACCAGTAACATCATTAAAGTTTCCTTTTTTGACCATTGTCTGCCTTTAAAATAAACCCTGTATTTTGAAACGAAGTACTGTAATCTAGTACTGTTTGTATTTTGGATGATAAACTGAATTTGGCTAACCATATCCTTTTTGTGGTAAAGTGGTGAATATAATTATGGTACATATCTCTGAGCTAAGCTAAATATGTTTGATTTGTTTCTTTTTTAGCAATGAAACTTCTGACAGCAGTTGTAAGTGTACATCTGAACCTTGATGTCAACAAGCACAACGTTCAAAGATTATATGAGGTGAAGAAGAAGAGGATGAGTAGCAAGAGGACCAATTACAGACTTGACCAGCTAGAGAGAAAAAGGAAAGAGGTTAGGCAGGTGTCTTGTATGGGGGATGTGTGAAGATATGAAAAGAGGGATTGCTTACAGCTTGCTTTTGGGTTACTGCAGTTCTTACATTCATATATTTATCTAATATATGTTCATATATTTATCTAATGTGTGATTCAGAGCCGTTTTGATTGGCTAGATGAAGTGGTACAAAAATTACTAAGGTAATAACTGCCCTATGTCCTGTCAACTTGTGATGTCTGTCTTACTAATTGCTTTTCCAAATTGGCATCTTTAGCCCTTGACCTTAACACAAATACAGATTTATGCACATGTAATTGCATTAGTAGCTCTAGGGTTGTGGGAGTGCAGTTTTTGCATATGTTTATACAAATGCAAGCCAAAATGTTACTTCTTGAACTGAATTTCAGTGAATGAAAAAGGACAAAGGATAGCTGTCCTCTCTGCGTAAGTAATGCATTATAAAAATGCCTGTAACTTCAGGTGTGATCTGTATCTTTCCTGCTGTTCAATTTTTGTCATTTCTTCCCTGCTCAGCCAGACAGCTCCTTATCAACTCCCAGAGACAGGCCTATAGCTGTAAGAAAGAATTCTGGCTTGAGGGTGGAGGTAACTTCATGCAGGGATATCAAACATAGTTCCTTCTCACCTGACCTTAAAATCAGTTAACTGTGTTCTGAGCTGTTGATGTCCATGGGCTTCCCTGTTATAGAAACAACCACGTTTTTTTTTGTGGGAAGAAGCGTTTGGGTGAGAGAAGAGTTTTTAGTATCATCATAAATCTGATCTTACGGGCAAAACAGAGGAAATGTGCGTGTTGGGGAGAACACCCAAACTTGTCACCCTTCTTGATGCTGTTTAAATGCATAAAAAGATAATTTGGATCTATACCTGAAGATTGCTTAATAGTTGTGCTGTATCTGTCTGTGTATTGATAGATCAAGACTCACCGTATCAAACAAGAATTTTTTTTATCCAAGCTAGTGGTTGGTATTTGATAACCTTTCATCAGGGTTAGCTACAAAAAGGCCAACTGCTCGTGTAGGTACAGACCACTTGTTTTACATGGGCCCTGTGTGTAAACACGAGCAGTTTGCACCACAGTAGGATTGTAAGTGCACTGATAGAAATTTTTCATGTGTAGTGAATTGTGGAACCAATATTAACATGCAGTGCTCCTTGTATTTCAGTATGAGCATAAGCTTCTAGAGATACGGAATATGATGAATGCCATTTTCAAAGGGACATTCCTAAAACGCTACCGGTAAGAGTCAAAATAAAGCTGTGATATGTATCTGCATTCTCAGAAAGTCTTCCTCAGATTGTCCAGACACCAGAATCAAGTTAGACATCCCGAAGGCACTGAGGGTGTCAAGGAAATTGTAGAAGTTAAATTATTTTAAAGAATTTGGGTTTATGAAAGTACCTCTCTTAAGTATGATTATGAAGTTCTTGCTGGCTATAAAGCAGTGCATTTGTGATTGAGAAGATATCCAGAATTACAAAATAACTGTTTCATGAAACATTTGTAGCTAAAAGTAGCCTAATTGTCAATTGAAAACTAACTTGAAACATTAATATCAGGATACTTGTAGTATTTTGGTTTATACATGCTTCTGCAATTTCAGAAAATAAAATTACTGCAAAAATATAATTAATATTTAGTCATCATTTTCTGTGTACTAATATTAAAATTTTATAATTTCACAGGGATGTGAGCCCTGAGATCCGAGCAACTTGCATTGAAGAAATTGGCAGTTGGATTAAAACATACCCAGATACTTTTTTAAATGATAGCTACTTAAAATACATTGGGTGGATGTTGTATGATAAGGTAAAGTTTGAATTTTTCTTACTGGGGGCAGTAGATGGGGATTTCTAATAGTATTCTTTAAATATTTTTTTTTCTAAAAGAATCCTGTCATTTAAATTCTTGAGAGTAGATGTTTAAAAATTTACTTTGTTTCCTGTTTCAGGTTTTATTTATAAAGCCATTGTAGCACTAGGTAACAGAACGATTTTTCCAGTTCTGTAGCAGTGTGTGTCCCTGTGTGTGCAGTTATTTTTGTGTGTTACTGAATTGGGAGCTATTACTGAGCTGTAAAATGGCCTATATCCTTTAAGCTCATGCAGTGTTAACTGTTGACTGAAATTTTGCTTTTAGGTTTGATGGCTAAATTTAACATTTAGTTTTATTTTATAAAAATTAACAAGTATATAGTTAGAGTAAAATAGTAATCAATATTGCATTTTTCATATGGAATTAAAAGGATAGATACAATATTTACAGAAAGTCCAGTCATTTCCCAGATGGTTTTCTCCTTTTCCTTATAGTAAGTTTTTCTTTTTGTGTAGAAACAGGTTTAAAAAAAAACAAAACCCAAACAAAAAAAACACCACAAAACCCAAACAAACAAAACTATGAAAAACCCCAAACAAAAAACCAAACAAAAGCCCCCCACCAAAACAACCAAACAAAAAAGCTAACCAAAAGAAAACAGTAATTCAAACCCATGCTTTTTCCTCATGCTTCTAGAATGCATGAGAAGTTCTAGGGATACCTACCGCAAGTGGCTAATGATGGAAATTGGCACACTGCGTGTCCGCAGGCTGTCTTTACATTCTGTATGCATTCCGAAACATCCCCCGGTTTTGTGTCAGCTTTAGGCAATGTTTGTGTCCTGTGAATAAAATTGTAGTTTACCAGAAAGCCGGGAGAGGGAGCACAAAGCCTCTTACTTCCTGCCTTGTGCCATTCCTGTAAAGGTAGTATTTAAATGTTTGAGAACAACAAGTCTATCAAGAGCTGTAGTGTTTTCCTGCATAAATTTTGTCTGATCAGAGTATCTTTTTAGTACACGTTCACTTGGGAGAATTCTCAAAAGAAAAAGTGGGTTTTGAATATGATGTGTCTTCATTCCCAGTGCTGTACAGTGAAAATTAACAGCTGGTGTCTCTGATTAGTGCACGTAGCTCATCTCCTGTCATTTATTTTGCACTGGAAACGGTTGTTTTTCTGAAGGTGCTTCTCTGAAAGCTGTGCAGCTGCAAGCAGGGCGAGGCAAAGTGAGGAGTGTTCCGTACCCCACGCGGGGCCGAGGCCGTGGGCGTGCACTGCTGGTGGCTGCAGGCCCGCCTGCGCTGCCCGATTTGCAGCCACTGTTAAACTGCCTGATTCCAAAATGAGAGCAGGGCACTTTTGGCAGCAGCAGGAGCAGCAGTGCTTTTATATACATCTGAATGTTATTTCCCACTACTCTTCCATAATAAGCATTTCCATCCCATCTTGGTGCTGGTGGACGGTAAGAAACTGATATCTCCCAGAGCCAATTTTCCTTTAGAATATGACATGGAGAAGTTTGCCAAATAGTTTAGACCCCAGAGTGGAACAAACACAAAAGTATTTGAATGGTGGTGGAAAACGTGGCCAGCATCATCTACTGTACTGTAAACAAAGATGAAGTTCAGTCACTTGTGAATCTTTAAAGCAGAGAGAGGAGGGGAAAGGAAACGTAAAATTAACTTTTTGTCTTAAGTCTTTTATTTGAATATAATTGTTCTTTCTTCCCCATGAGATGCCATTTTGCCATTATATACTGATACAAAACACTATATTTTTAGGTGAAAGCTTATTTCCTAGGTGGAAGAAGGTGCTCTAAATTCAGGGGTAATGTGCTCAGAATTGCATATGAAAATCTGTCTTTTGCTCAGTAAGAGCTGCAGAACAATGTTATAAAGATACATTTTTGAGTAGTTTACATTCATCTGCTACAAATACTTAAGTTTTTATTTTTGAAGACCAACAGCTGATGCTAGATACCATAGCTGTGTGCAGTTGAACAATGTTATATGTAAGCCCAGTCACCTATCTTATGCTCAGAGGCACTAGTGTTCTTCCAAGGGAATATATGGTTACTAAATCGTCATCCAGATCCAATCAAAGCAGTGCTGATCTGAGCAGCAGATGCTGAAGGGAAGAGTTAAAGACTAGAAAAATCAGGACAATGAAGAATAAGAATGGGGAAGGTGGAAGGCAGAACTAGCAGACAGGGAGACAGGGACAGTGGAGATGCACACTTGGAACCTCCTACCATGTTAGACTAGCTTTGTCTGGAACTTCAGGTTAAGTAATTGAGCTTTTCACTTTAGACTATGAAGAATACCCAAAGAAATCCTGTGGAAACAGAAAGTTGCTGTTAAATTGAACTTCTATGTCCTGATCATGTGACCCTCCTGGGCAAATTTCAGGAAATTGAAAGGGTTTTTAGTTTTGCCTCCCATTCAGCATGACTGCAGAAACTGATTCTGTGGTTATGACTCCATCAAATGAACATGTTAACATAGTGGTTTTCTGCTACATAGGTCATCTCTGTGCATATGTGTGGTTTTCTGGATTTTTAAATTGTTTTACCTTGACAGGACAGGGAAGCTGGATTGTCTTCACTATTCAGGAGTAATACAGAAGTAGACCTAGTTTTCCCAGTTTCCTCTGTTATTTGTGGAGTGTTGAGGAGAAAACAAGTGACTCAACGGCCTCATCAAATCATCCATGTCCCAGCCTGTATTTGTAAGGCTTACTGAATGGCCCCATCTCTGTGATTGTGGTGAGGCTGAAATCACATAAATGAATGTGTGCAAGCAGTGCTAGAGCCCTCACAGAGCTCTTTGAGGTCACTAGAGCTGCCCACCATCTTACTGATGTTTTCTGCCAGTCTGTTTCCAGCTCAGGGTCAAAATATACTATGGTACAGCTGAGGGACAGTGTGTGTTCAGAGTACCCTGAAAATGTGCTTATGTAATTCCCCTTCACTCTGTCACAGCTTTGAAAGACCAAACAGGCAGGTATTTCATCGAGATTAGACTGGTAGTTCTGGCAGGGCGAGTCGATGGCTGGGTGTTTGCACTGCCTACTTTATGTTTGAAAGGAGCTGAAGGTAAGTAGTGAGTTTTAGAAGGGTGTGACATAGTTTTGAATGATCAAGGAGCCATGAGGAGTGATGAATGTAGAAAAGGAGAGGCAATTGAGAAGGAGAAAATGCAGCTGAAAACAGGAAAACAGCAGAGCTAGTCAGAGTAGAAATAGGTATTTGTTCATAGTTACTAATTTTCTCAAGACTTAAACATACACGTCTAGGGTTATGACTGAGAGCTTTCAGGTGGGAGCAGATACCTTAGAAGGCAGGTGGTGAAGTTTAATATATTAAGCTTTTACCTGCAGATCTGCACTTGAATGTCACCTGACTGACAAATGCAAATGACTGTACCAGCTGCATGGCAAGAGCTATATGACCATGCAACAAACAATCACAAACTTTTTTTCCTTTTTTTTTTCTTCCTCCTTTTCCCAAAGCACAAATGGAGCCCTTACTCACAAGCAAAGCCTTGTGTTAAAATATTGAGGGCAGCTGAAGCTGGGATTGCAGGACATTGGCCGAGCTGAGCTTGTGCCAATGGCAGTGATGGGTGCCAAGTTGGAACTGTTTGTGAGTTCTGTGCTCTGGAGCCCTTGTGGCTGTAGCAAGCAGCAGATGTGGGCAACAGTCTCTTTCTCAGACAAGGCTTTTAATTTTAAAGTACAATATAGAATGTTTACTGCTGGTGTGTCACTGGCAGATCAGAGAGCAGTACTCAAGAGTTACTTGTTGATCTTTCATTTTGTATTTCTAGCAAAAAGCTGTCTTATGCAAAACTTTTGGTGGGAGGCTGCTACTGGGTATTATCCTTTGCTTTCCAGCTAAGCCGGTGAGCGGTAGCTTGCAGTAATGGATAGCCTGTGTGTAGGTGGTCTCCTTTCTTGGGTTTCCTTGATTATTATTAGCATTAAGCTATTAACAATAACCTATTGTTAGCAAGAGGAATTGAGGAAGCAAGATGAAGAGACAGATTCAAAGCCTGCACTTCATTTAAGTGTCTCTGCTGATAACCTTAGCATTATAAGGTTACAGAACACAGTGATTTTTCTGTTAGATCCTCACAGTTATTCTCCTAATGCCATTTAAAGCTTTGTCATTTGAAAGGTGTAGTGATAAACGTGACATAATTTAAAAGCTGGATAAGGAAAAGACTTCTTTTTGAGGCATCTGTGAAGCAGCAGTACTAGTAGTATAAAATAATACCTTGAAAGGATAAATATGCTTTGCCTAAAGTAACTAATTGGGCAAAATTGAAAGCAACCCTTTTCTTCTTAGAATGCTTAAAATACAACGTTCTAGTGTCAAACAGAAATATAGAGAAGGTGTAGTGTTTAAGTCTGTATCTGTAAGAACCCACAGTAAGCTAGTGCATTTCTAAGGCGTACCTCTTCCTCTGGGAATCTTTCAGAATTTCTTGGAGTCATTGACTCTGTTTAACACTTGTCTGAGGCAAATGCTGAAAGGAAGCAAGCAAAGTCTGATGGGTGGCAGAGTGCTGGCCATATTAAGTAGGTTATCCATACCCTGTGTCTTTAACAGGTGAATAGCACAATTCCTGCATCTTTTGCATTCTGTTGCTTTTACTAACTTTAAGTTCTGTGAGAGTTTCTTTGACTCTTACAGAGCCTAACACAAGTTTCAATGTCACCTTTAAGTTTGCGGGGTTGAGGGGGATGGGAGAGATGCACACAAACAAAATGGTGCTGATAGTAACGAAGATGAGGCAGTATTTGGGTAGTCTCCTGTAGGCACCCACAAAGAACTCTTGTTTACATAATGTGATTGCCAATGGTGAGTGACATCAGAGATACATGTTGTGTACTCTTAGCTCATTTCTCTTTGTTTTCTAGCAAGCAGAAGTGCGGTTGAAGTGTCTTCTGGGACTGCAAGGAATTTATAGCAGAAAAGAACTTGTTTCCAGAATGGATCTCTTTACTAGCAGATTCAAGGTGAATAGATTACTCTTCTCTATTTTATAAGACTGGGTTGGGTGTATACACAAGGTCTAGTGTTTTGATGGGAGCTGATCTCCCCACTTAACTCCCTCTTGACTGACAAGAACTTACAGAGTACTGCAGAAGCAGCCTGCTTCACTGAGTGGATGAAGGAATTTTTGCAGAGATGTTTCCCTCTATTTCTATGGATTTTTCTGTTTCACTTTAGTTCATGCACAGAATGGTGTTAGCGTGCATTATGGTCACTTATCTTCACCATCCATCCAGAATGGCCCAGATGTTTTTTTACAGGGTCTTTGGCAGATGACAAAGAGTTTCATACTCTAAAGGTCCCTTTTTTGCTTCTCCTGACAATGTGTACACCTTGTAGACACTGTATTGGCTGACCGTGCATCATACAGATGTGGGAGTGGCTCTCTGATGATTCACCATGTCAGTGTGAATCTTTAAGAAGGATCACTTACCTCCTTTTTGAACAAGTCAAGTGATGCACTGTAATTTTGAGAGCTTGTTCCATGACCACACTGGCCCTGTACACTGCCTTTATCATATTCCAATATCCCAATATCCTGACTCATTTAAGAAGTAAGCCTTTTTTTTTTTTTTTTTTTTTTTCCCCCCAGTCCTGCCCTTGGTAATGATTTTGTCAGCTACTCTTACGTCAGTGGGGCTGTGCCTTTTCAGTATTTGAGTGAGAAAGCTCAGGATGCTGTGTTTGATATGTCAGTCCCTTGAATCAATACATACTCAATGCCTGCATGTGGTGTTAATTCATGTACTTTTTGCAGAAGGTGCAGGGCTTCCCTGTATGTCAGAACAGTTGCTAGTAGAAAAAAATACCTATAGCACATCCTTAAAGAATGAGAAATAGATTAATTTTGTTGTCTTAAGAATAAATTATTCAGACTGAAACTTGGCTAAGATTAACCTCTATTTTAAACAGTTATGTGTCAGTCCCTTATATTTCTGTCTAAAAGAATGTTGCTGTAAGCTGTGTAATCAGCTGCAGTATTGGTATTCAAAGACTGATGTAATACCTCCAGTCTGTTTGTGCTGTGATCTCATCCTCTGTGGAGGATGCTGCATAAATGGATTGTTGCAAGCTATGTCCCCCAATCAAAAAAACCCCAACCCAAACACAACAACATCTTCTCCTCTGAACAAAAGAAACCCGGAGAGCTACACACAAAATACAGACTGATATGGAATCTTTCAAAATTTAAATCATGTTTTCTCAGTGGTGTGGAATGTAATCAATAACCATCATTCCATTTCCCACAAGTGGGAGTTTTGCATGCTCCCTCTGTTACCCTTCAGTGTCCAAACTCAGGAGTTAGGGACATCTACACCTGGCAGCTGGCTGTGAGAAAAAGAAAGGTGCAAAGTAGAACCAACCTAGAGATTTAGAAATGATATGTTAAGTGAGAAAGCTGTTAGTCCCCAGATAAGCAAGTCCGAAGGTTTAACGCACCGTAAAGATGTAGGCCACACTGAGGAGTGTGAATTCTTGGGTACGTGGGGTTGGAGAATTTCCACTGTTTTCTGAGGTGATTGCACATGTACCAGGTTACAACAGTGTGAACTCTGAAGGTCAGGAATATTGCTGCTATTCCATGAAGTACCTTTATGACTCAGGTCCTAATTGTCTTTCCAGTAAGGAACTGGCTTCTGTAACATATAGGTACATGCACTTTATTGTTGATGGGAGAAACTGATTATATAATGCTTGTAATTTGAGGCTTACCTTCATTTAACATGCTGAAGTGCCAGTAGTAACGTCTTAGAAACAAGTTGTCAGTCACTTTTAATTTGTAGACTGTAGTTGATTTCTTATGAACGCATACATTACATCTATAAAAAAATATCATATTACTACATGATTAATTCAGTTAAAAAATTAACATGCTGTTAATTTTCAGGGGCTGGGGAACTACTTGGTAGTAATCAAGTTGCCTTATGTCTCTTAGGAAATAGCTGCCGAAATAAAAATAAATCTCTGCTATACTAGTGTAGATGATCTAGCTGTAGCAAAAATATGTTTATTGAGATCAAACCATGTTACATCTTTTTATTGTCATTTTACATCCATTAGGATCGAATTGTGTCCATGCCTCTGGACAAGGACCATGAAGTAGCGGTTCAAGCCATGAAACTCTTGATGCTTATGTCACAGTAAATAATTTCTTTTTTAATTTACTGTATTGTTTTAATGGCAACAAGATCCAGATAGTGCCCTGACAAATCTTCCTGTAACCGTTACATGCTGGGAAACAGTTGCTCCTGGCAGGGTATGAGTTACAGTTCAAGCTGCTCAAAGACATGGTATTTTCTTTCTGTGGGAAATACCAGTGTTAAGAAAGCCCGTGTGCTGAGATTCAGTATGGAAACTACATTTTTATGTCTTTATATTTCCCTTTGAAAGGAAATTCCACGTTTTCATTTCGGCTTCTCTCAGATAGAGCATCTGCCTGTCTCGAGGGCAGTCCCCACCAGAGATGGAGTCCCTACCCCATTCTCTGTCCCAGGGTTGCCAGGCTTTGACCTTCTGGCTCAGGGACCTCTGCCACCTTCCCTGTCTCACCACCTGCTGCAAGAAGCCTGGATCTTTGAGGCAGTTGCTAGACTTTGGACTTTCAGATTCTTGGCTCCATGGCAGAGAGCCTGGGGGCTGTTGAGCCCACAGCAGACAGGAAGTGAGCAAGCGTATGGTATTTTCATTTTGCTGAAGTGGAAAACTAAAAGAAGAGTTGTATTCTTGGGAAACTGCCTGCCAGCCATAGATTTGGTAGGATAATGGCAAGCTGGAAGTGTGGGGAAAAAATAGACTAACGTTATACAATGACATGAGTGCTGCTTTGGTACATCCTTAAGCAGCATGTTTATTTTAGAAATGGCTTTATTTGCAAAATATGTGGAGAATAAATTCTGTTCTTCTTTTTCAACACAAAATGAGAATAAAAACTCCACTGCATTTCATTGTTAATGCAGTTGAGATGCTAGGACTCAGTAGGTGTCTCTTCTATCTCCGACTCAAAGTTGAGTTCTGCTAGTGCAAATGCTTACATGCACGCACAGCAGGGCGTGTTGCCCACTAGCCTTGGGGGATTTGCTTTTCTGTTTAAGGCAGAAGCATTGGTTGTTGCTAGATGAGGATATAGACCTTAATGGACCAAGTAACGTGGTGTTGTAGGTATTTTACATTACATTTCAAGTAGGTTTGTGTATTGAAGTGCTGCTTTATAGTCTGGTCTCCATCTTGCTTCACACTCGATTGATCTGAGTGGCATTTCTCTGGGCCTACTTCAGCATACACCTCAGAAGAGTGTATGATGCTGTCAACATAGCACACCTTTCAAAAGGGAGTGCCGTTGTTTGGGGCTCACTAGCAGTAGTTAGGGTTACATTGTTCCTGTGTTCACAGCCCTTGATTCTCCATGGTGTGTAGCTGTTGGAACGAAGCACAGTGCTGTCTCTGTGTGTGTGCTGTGTCCCTGTGCTAGGAGGAGCAGCTCACCATTGTTGAAGTACAAAGATGCTATACACCAGTTATGGCTCTCTTGTTCTGTGTCTGAACTAACAAGTGCTATATTGGCACTGCAGCTGTTTATCACCTCTGGCTTTACAATAAAGGATCATGTTCTCAATAATGCGAGCTGCAACTATGAAAATTTGATCAATGTTTCTTTTTCCCTGAAGCAATTTTTTTCCTAATTTTTCTTAAATATGATGTCCAATGTGAATAAATGCCTACTAAAGTTTTCTGAATTATATTTTTCTATCATAAAATGTAGTTTTCATCAATAAAATGAATACATTTTGAAGTAGTTTTTGATTAGGGTGTGTTGAGGCCTGGCAAACACATGCTTCTCTTTCTATTTGCTCATCTGTTGCACAGCCATCCTACTTTCTGCCCCCTCCCCCCCAAGTTGCTCTGAGCCCTGCTGATTTGGCTTAATTATTGGAGTGATGAGGGTGGAAACTGAGGACTCATTAAGCAAATTAAATGACAGCTCTTCTTTTTGATAACGCTAGTTTTTGTAACAGGGGAAAAGCTTATGCCTCAGTATCTACAAAAGTGTCAGGAAGGACTCACTGCTGGTGTTGCAAGAAGGAAAGAAACCTCAGGGCTGTTGTGTCTCAAGTAGGTGCATCTCATAGCTCAAACCCAATATCTAGATATTGAGCAGTAATGCTGCTTCATACATGCAGTAAAGCATGACATGGGGCTGGGAACAACAACGCCCTTGCCATTAAAGAATAATAAATGACAGCTTGTGTAAATGGCACTTCTACTTGTAGGCAGTGAGGTAACAGAATTTTTTGCAGCTTTTGTCATGCTTTATTGGCTTCTCTGTGGATGGCTCATTTTGTCATCTGAAAATTTTGCAGCTGGTTTCTAGTTGCCCAATTTGCTTTTTTAGTGAGACATGAAACACCTTTCAGATCAAGTTTCTTTTCCTACAGCTGCTGGCAAGAACCTCTATCTCACAAACTCCCTGTATTTTATTTAGAGTCATGGATTATTTTAAACAAATAATATAATCTTAATCGTTCAGGTACTGACCTTTAGAACATGTGTCTAATCCTGGAATAAATCTTTTGTTGCTTTGAGATGTATTGGCAAGAAGCAAGGCCAGGAGTAACTCTTCTGCAGTTAGTCCATTGGAAGCTCTGTGACTTTATAGGGGAAAATTTACTATGTCAGTAAGCCTCTTTTACTGGATTCCATAAATGTCTTTTGGGTGAGTATAGTAGCAAGACCTTGTTGCCAATTAATTATTTTTGTGATGTTTCATGGTTACAGTGAAGCTGTGCTCCATGACATACAGTTATCACTGCCTTCCAGTCCTGTGGAATATACATTGACTACTCTGCTTACTACTGGCCCATAAAACTGCTATGCTGTCCTTTACTTGTGCTAGCTAGAGAGGTAGTGAAAATAATTATCTTCTCAATTTACTTAGATGCATTACATTATTAAAGAAGAAGAATCCAGTGCTGATTAAAACCCCTCTTGCTATGCATATAACTGGTTGTGGTTATTTTTTTTTTTTGTTTGTTTGGTTTGGTTTGGTTTGTTTTTTTTTAAATCTGAATTTGTAGTTTCATCTTGTCTATATCTATGAGCTGAGATTTTTTTTCCTTTGTGTTTGTTGCATGTTGTCTCAGTTGAACACCAAGGTCTTTGGGCTAGTAGATTTCTATTTTTACACAGCGTGATGTTATCCCAAAACTGAAATGAGCCTATGAGGTTTAGCATAATAGAAATTATTAATGCTACTGAATTATGCATAATTGTTAGCATTAATGTTGCAAAGGGTCTGAGACAAAATAGAACAGGGAAGGAGATAAAGAGGGAGAAAACATGAATGACAAAGAGAGACCAAGGAATCCTACTGAAAACATTGCACTTTAGGAGGCAAATTAATTTAGTGTGCCTGCTACCAGACAATTCTGTTCATTTTTGTGTACTTAACTGCCTAAAATAGAGGGATTTTGGAAAAGAGCAGCAAAAGTAATTGGGTAACTGTAGTAAATGAATAAGGAAAGGTTACGAGTTGTGCAGGTAGGAGCAGAAATCTACAAATACCTCGAATAAGTAAGTACCAGAGGGGAAAATTACTTTGTATTACATTAGTTAAATTTAACTAGAAATTAAACTAAGTTTTAAACACAGAACTCTGAGGTTTTAAATCTGGAAGAGCTGCACAGTGAGAACTGTGAGCATATGGCACTCACTGAGGACTTGACATAAATAGTTCAAAAACTGTTTAATGCAGCTGATAAATACCACAGTGCTTTGACAGTGGTCAGTAGAGTTAGTTGAACTTAAAAGTCAAGAAACTGGGGCTTAGCATGGTATGCCTAAGTCAAGTAGGGACACATCACTGCTGTGCTTAAAACTTATTCTTCCAGTTCTCAACTGGACTGGGAAGGATGTTTTAGTTTGGAGAGGGAAGGGCTATGCCATAGGAGAAACTTGAAAACTGGTTTGGACAAAGGATGCCATGGCAAATAACAGAAGTTACTAGTTCTAGTGGTAGATGTAGTTGTCCCATGGCAAGTAATTTAGTGTCAGCAGAGAGCTGAACTCTGTGATTCTGTAGTGTTGTTTCATAGCTAAGCCATGGACTTTGGAGGAGAAACTGACGTTTGTTAGGCAAATGCACTGTATTTAGCAAGTTATTCAGTTTATTTGAAGGCTTAAATGCCATTATAAGAAGTGGTTTTATGTGATTGTAAAAAAATAAGCTGAAAAGAGAGGTGTGCTTTGCATACAAATAAGGAAATTATCCACCTTTTGTCTTGTTTAGTGGCTTTTAAGAAAAATAAAGAAATGTTATATTGAAGTTGATAGAAGTAGCATAGGAAGCAGTGGAGCAAATAATACTGCACAGTGCTGATTTCTTCCATCAGTAACTTGCTTGTTGCAGTTCAGGTACTGCCAAAAGGGAATGTCACAGAGCTCCTCATAGCTCTGTGATTCCTTCAGGCCCACCACACCCCTATTCAGGTGGAGTTATGTTAGTACTTTATCGAGCCTATTCCAAATAAAACAAAAATGAAGGCCAAAATAGAACAAAGGCAAATGCTTTCTCCTCTGTTCATTCTTTTCCATCCTTCCAGGTTTATGCTTGCTTGGATGTTACTTTCAGTCATTTTCTGCCATCCTGCACCTCTTTTCAAGAACCTTGAGATCTGTTCTGAAATCTTATCTTTCCTGTCTGAAGCATTACCAAGAAAAAATAAGAATGGCATGTCTCCTAGGGTTATGATTCTTAACCAAACAGTATACCATACAGCATCTGTCTAATGTACATCTTCCTGCATTCTGCCACAGGATGATCACCACCCAGTCACCACTGATCACCAGAGTGTTGTCTTGAAATACCTGCAGTGACAGCAGGGTAGAAGGAGGGAGGTAACAGAACAGATTACCTGATTTTTCGCCTTAAAAATTTTATCTCAGACATGAGAATACTTTCAACATATATTTCAACCTATCAACATTGTGCTCAGTGCACAGATAATGTTTTTAAAATGTATTTGCAGGTTTGGATGTTTAACTTGAATTATTTTAAAATGCAAAATTAAGTTTTTTACCTTGGATTACCAATGTCCCCCTAATGCATGACAGATCTTTCCCTTCACAGCCATTAAAGCCAAAAAGAACAGCAAAACTTTGAAAAGTGCACCAGGTGCATTTTTATTTTACTGTTGTGATTTTGATGGTTATCCTTGGTATAAGCAATAGCATAGATCAAGAGAGCTGACTCCAGCGATCATGTCTCTTGTGTGCAGTAAAATGGAACAAAAACCAAGATAGGAGATCTTTCAACTGGTGCCATATGCAGAACAAAATGGGCCTGTGATCACTTCCTAGAATATCTCAACTTCTTCATGACACGTTCACACTGAAGTGCAGAGAAAATGGTATGTCATGACACTGGTATGTGGCAGGCTATGCCTGTTTATTTTTAGGCACCTAAACACTGGCAGGCCCTCTGGCTTAACCTTTATCTGGTGCTTGGCATTCTGAGGGCTGTGAATTTGCAGCAGCATTATTGCTGTATTTGAAGTATTCTTTGAATGTTTGGCGATTGGCTTATATATGTAAAAAGGAAAGGCAACCATTTACTGTAGTAGTATTAGTGGTAGCAGGTGTAGTCAAGTGCTGCTACTTCCAGAGGCACGTAAAATCCCTGAGCACCCATTTGAGTGGGAGTCAGGAGTTTCAGCCTCATTGTTTCACAGAGATTAATGTGTGAGCAGTATGTCAAAAGTAGCAGCAGTCCACACAGCTATTCCCTCCCATGTAAGAAAGAAAAAGATCAGGTGCTCAGGTGGTGTCATGAGTGTCTGTCACCCTGTGCTGCAAAGAGAATGGGATGTTTTCATCTCCTTTGCTTCTGTGCCATTAGGGAGTTCTTCATACATGGCCAGGGCTATTGCATCTGACCTGCTCTTGTCTTGAGGAGGGAGGAAATAACACTGCTGTAAATCAGTGTAACTGGGGTAAATTCATAGCCTTTTGCAAGACAAAGTTAAGAAAAAGGAGGTTGGGGTTTCAGGATCATAGAATGGTTGAGGTTAGAAGGGACCTCTGGAGGTCATGAGCCAGTTGCTCAGGACCATGTTCAGACAGCTTTTGAGTATGTGCAGTGATGGAGACTCCACAACCTCTCTGGGAAGCCCGTGACAGTGCTCTGTCACTGTCAAAGGAAAACGTGTTTGTTGATGTTCAGAGGGGACCTCTTGTATTTCGGTTTGTGGCCATTGCCTTTGGTTCTGTCACTGAGCACAGCCTGGCTCCATCTGCTTTGAATCCCCCTGCATTTTAAATCCCTGACAGTGCTAAAAAATATTTGTAGTGGTCACTCCAGTCATACTCTCAACTAATGTGAGCTCCCTTTTTTTCAGTCATGTTGGAGGATCAGAAATGGTGTGACCAGCAGGCAGAGGGGTGTGATCATGCTCCTGTACTCAGCACTGGTGAGACCAGACCTTGAGTGCTGTGCCCACTTTTGGGTACCACAGGATTAGAAGGACACTGAGGTGCTGGAGCAGGTCCAGAGAAGGGCAGTGAGGCTGGTGAGAGGGCTGGAAAACATGCCTTGTGAGGACTGGCTGAGGGAACTAGGATTGTTTAGCCAGGAGAAGAGGAGACTGAGAGGTGACCTTATTACTCTCTACAACTACCTAAAAGGAGGTTGTAGTGAGGCTGGTGCTGGTCCCTTCTCCCAAATCATTGATGATAGGATGAGGGGAAATGGCCTTAAGTTGCACTAGGGAAGATTTTGATTAGATATTAGGAAGAATTTCTTTACTTGAAAGAGTAGTGAGACATTGGAACAGGCTGCCCAGGGAGGTGGTGGAGTCCCTATCCCTGGAGTTGTTCAAAAAATGAGTGGATGTGGCACTTGAGGGCTGTGGTCTAGTGGTTAGGGAAATGTTGGGAGAAAGGTTGGATTTGATGATCCTAGAGGTCCTTTGCAACCATAGTGATTCTACGATTCTATGTTTTGGGGCTTTGTGACTTGTGAGGATGCTAAAGGATGTGATGGGTTTGGAGACAAATGGGCAAGCACAGGAAGGGCTGCTCATTTTTGTAAGACAACACTCCCAGCAAATGAAGAGCATGAACGCTTGGTTTTAGAGAAGGTATCGGACCACAGGTGTAGGTGGTTTTAAATTGTTAAGTAATAAATAAAGCCCCTTTCCCCTCACCTGGCTGTAGTAAGTGTAAGGATCTCGTCATAAGTTGTTCTTTCATTCTCTAAAGTAGCTTGGTCCAGTGATATTCCATGGCAGTAAGAAGCAGGCATTTTGAAATTGTACTCCTTGCTGTGGGCTTCACTCCTCTGGTATCTCTTCAGAGGGTTATTCAACCTTGATGCTTCCATCTCATTTTTGTAAAAGGTTGATGTTAATGCCATTTTAACCTCTCACAGAGTGTTCTAGGTCTTTTAGTTGGTGTGTGGTATTCTCAAGATGTGTAGTTGAATGAAAAAAATGGTGACTTTGAGTGTGTTTGCGCAGAAAGGCCACAGCGTGCTATCAAGAATGCTTAGTGTAATAGAATATAGGTTTTAAAATACTGTAATAAATATTTTAAAAATAATTTTTACTGTAAAAAGAAGACGGCTTCTTGTTTATTGTCATCTGTGGTCAACATCTAAGCATAAAGTAGAGGCATGATTATTAGTGTTAGTCTTTTTACTGCAACCATTAATCAACCTTAATTATACTTTAAGTTACTGTTCATGTCCATGCAGTGGGGCTGATGCATTGTGCTTTGCTCACACCTCCGTTTCTCTACACAGTGCGTAAAAGAAGGCTGCCCGTTTTGTTTGATAGCATTTTAGATAAGCCCTGCAAGAATTTAGCTGCGTAAACAAATGGCACAGCTAAGGAGAATCAGGTCTAGTAAAAACTGGACATAGCATTCATGATATTCTTTGCAGATAAACCTGAACTGTAACTTCCGTTGTTATTTTTACTTAGGAACTGCGAGGATGTGTTATCAGCTGAGGACTGTGGAACCTTACACCAGCTTGTTTATGCCACACACCGTCCACTTGCAGTAGCAGCTGGGGAATTCCTTTATAGAAGGTATCTCTGCCCGCGTGCCTACTTCTTGCATATTCTCGTTTGCTTCAGGATGAAGGTGGATTTATTTAAGAAGGGATGTTAGGCATTCATTTTCCTGCTAGAAATACGTACCACAAAGGTGCTTTCTTCTGCTGAATCAGAAGAGAAATGCTGTCTGGGGGTAATCGTTTGCTCTCCTGCACAGCCCTGGCACAACAGGCATGAGAAGAGATGCAAGACTAACACAGGGAACATGAAACAACTGACTGATCCACAGATGCCATGCTATGTTGAGAGCATACCTCCTTTTTTTCTACTTTCTTTTCCTGCTGCTTTTCTTTTTACAAGCTAATTCATTGCCTGGCAACTGCTGGATTTCTATAGCTTCGGTGATTAATCACAAAAATGGCCTCCACTTATCCCTTTTGAAGTTACCTTATACATTGCAAAGGCTTTGAATAATAAGAGATGCAGCAGAGTAAAAAGCCCTCCCAGTTTTCTGTCAGGTTAATGAAGTACAGGGTTTATCTTCTCCAGGAGTAACTCTTTTTATATGGGCTTCTTATAACAATGGTTGCATGAAGTGAATGGAGTTGGCATGCTAAAAAGAGAAGAAATAAATATTCTGTCTCCATGGCTGAGAGCAATAATTTTGTCTTACAAAGAGGAATGAAACTAAAAATAGTTCGGCAAGACTTTTGTGGGGAAAAATTTAGAAGTAATAATGATTTGTGCTTCCACACATGCAGAATCTCCTCCTAGTTGTCTTTTTCTATTTAGCTGAATGGCTGACATTCTGGGGTTTGTGGAGCCAAGTCCAACAGAGAGACAAATGAAGACAAATTTCTGTTTAAGTCATCTATTGCATCTGTTAGTCTTACTTAGTCTTTTCTGTTGATCCTAATGTTCTATCATAAGTCAGGTGCTTTTCCTCTCAGAACACTGCTGCTTTTTGTCACTGAAGTGATTGCCCTGATAGCTTTATTTTTTCTATACATCTTCTCAGTGCAGTGTGGACACATTGATGCTGTAAACCTCATCCTCATTCTTGTTTGCCCAATTCTTCTCTCTGGTACTTCTGCCAGCGTAGGAATGTCAGTTCTAGTGTGATAAAGATGGTCATGCTGCTAGAAGTTTTAGTATAAATGCTTATCCAACTCTCCTTCTTGATTTGCATGAAATCTCCTCAGTGTCTGTATTTTTAACTTGTTACTTAGCTGACAGAAATGATGCTAACAGAAGCACTTTCTGAAAGTATGAGCTTTTACTGACACTGAGTAGTGTGGTCCTGCTCTTGAATCCAAGCCATTTGGGCCTTACATTACTCTGCAGGGACAGCCTTGCTGTATTTATTTTGGGATTAGCACTTTTTGTGAGCAGTACAGTCACCTTCATTTTAGATAAAGAGGGAAATGTAAATTAATGTGTCATATTGTGCTTCGTATTTCAGAGAGATGAGGAAGAACAATTTTTCCATTGTGTTTGTGGAGCAATTTCCTCTTATAAATATTAGATACTGTACTTTCTTTAAGAGATTTCAGTTCCAAGATGTACTATGATGTGAATTATGTTTTGGTAGTAATAACTTTGCTCTGCTGTTAAGGTTTAAATTTATTGTAGAGCAAGCCCCTTTTCAAGCACAAGAAAATAGCTACTGCTTGTTCAACACTGTGCAATTTGCATCTGTTGTCCAGAAAGTGGGCAGGGTACCTGTGAAACTCTCAGAAATGGTCTCTCAGTCCAGACAGATAGCAGATTTCTTATGATGGAACACAATCTAATCTCTTTGCCTTTATTCTGATAAAAAAGTCTAATGTGATTTGGCATAATTAAGTAGATACCTAGAAGTAACAGTCCTTGGGATCTCAACAGAATTAGTGTTACATTGGCAAATGAGTATAGGGAGAATGTGGCAGAACTGGACTGACTTCCTTTTCTGTTGGCAGGCTGCTTTGTCATGAGGGAGCTGAAGTTCAGCCCAAAGGAGGAGGGAAGTTTGGGGCAAGTACTGACCAGCTGAAAAGATTAATATGCTTTTTCCTGGAGAGTGAGGTGAGGAGAACAGCAGTAAGCCTTTTAAATCCAGTATGGAATGTTAAATCAAACACTGATTTCCTTTTGAAAACTATTTTTGGTGGTGGGGTCTGAGATGTTTGGTGTTTGGAATAGTTTTGCTCTCTAGGATGAGTTTTTAATGAAGACATTTCTATTCTGTTGTATTAAAACTGATTTAAAACTATGCTAATGGAGAGAATTGGTGCTGAGCAGCTTCTGAAAAGAACCTAAAGACTAATGCCACTGAGTGAGGGGTTTTTGGTTTGTGTCCTTGTCTGTCTTCAGGCAGATAGGGGTTGCTGTACCATGGCTCTATGCTGACTAAGAACTCCGTAGTTTTACAGAGAGTTTTGTCAGCTTGGATGTTGTACCTCACTGTTTGGCTTTGGCCAGATAGAGTGTCTCAGGCACAGCAGTTTAGAAACTTTCTGCAAAGAATTCCACAGACATTGTTTAAAATGTTGACTTGTTTCTAGTCCCAAGGTTGGATTTTTAGATCAGCAATATAAAAACAATACAGACTTTACTGAAGAGAGTACTTATATTACAAAGGAATATAAGTAATAGTCTCTTTCTAAAAAGAGAAAGTAAAAGCTTTTTTCCCCGCTTCTCTTGCTTTTTTCCCACACGTCCCTGCTTTGTGTCAGACTGAAAACATGGTGTTTAAATGTTTACTAGCCTCAAATGAAATCTCTTGGATTACTGTCTGTGAATTTATCTGTGAATGACAAAGCTTTGTAACTGGAAAAAGGTAGAGGAGCATATGAAGCTGTGTTTCTTTTAATGATGTGTTTGCTTCTCTAAGCTTGTGTTTTCAATCCCTAGCTACACAAACACGTTGCATACCTCGTAGACAGCTTGTGGGACTGGGCAGGCAAACTCCTGAAGGACTGGGAGCTCATGACCACTCTTCTGTTAAAAAATGCTGAAGAAGATGGAGAAGGTGGGTAGGCAAAGAGCTGAGTTTTGTCTGAATATAAACTCTTGATACCATTTTTTGAATTTTGCCTTCAGCTAGTTTAGGATCATTCTGTATTACAGTGCCCTTTGATCCCAAATTGCAGTCCTCAAGGGCCACAAAGCAGAGGCCACTCAATGCATTGCCAATGTGAAAATTATATCAAGATATTTGTTTTATTCAGTATTCTATATTTATGTGATACTAATTTAGAAACTTTGCAAGAGTACTTGCATAATTAAGCCATACTGCTTATGTAGCATTGACTTTGTTTGTCCAAAACTTAAGAATCTAAAAGTATTACCTGACTGAAGTGCAGTATTGTCAGGCTATTGTTCATATCTGAAAAGTCAATGAACTCAACACATTACTCATTTTCATCTAGCACTCTCAAATATTAGTTTTTTGTAGAATTGTTTTAAAGTGAACTTAAATAAATCTTTATGTTCCTCCAACTTAATTCTATAATTCTATGACAGTTGTAGTAGAACTGGAGATGGTTGAGTGATGGAAATCAAAGTTTGTAGACCCACTGAGGCCTTTTGGTACTCAAGCAGGTTTGCCCTAAATGAGACAGCAATCAGTAGGAGTAGGCCTCATTAAAACTGCATGTGTTTTAGGGAGCCCAACTGCCGTAAAAAATTTAGCTGTGAGAGGAATAATCATTGTTTTTGTGTTCAGTAAATGTAGAAAAAAATTTTCTTAAAATGAAACCAAACACTCTATAGGTGTTTCTGTAGCAACATCCCATCTTTCTTTCTGTAGTGGCCCTCCTTGGTTGCCCAGATAGATGAGTAGTCTTTACATTAGCTGTTGCTGCATCTTCATTTCTCTTTTGTGTGATGCTTAAAGGAGACTGGTTTGCTTGCAGCACTGAGTGATGCCCATGAAAGTGTTCTCATTGAAATTATCCTCGCGACGGTTCGAGAAGCAGCTGAAGGTCATCCTCCAGTGGGCAGAGGTGCAGCCAAAAAAGTCAGTGCATCTTAGTCTTAGTTATTGTTCTATAATCACACCCTCTTTGCCTCATGTGCTTTGCCAGACAGCATGTTCCTAGTGGTAGGTGTATCTCAGGAAAGGAGATGGCTTATTTTTATGTCTCACAGTGTCTCTTGACCTCTAGATTATTAGTAGTGAACATTGAAGGAGATGAGCATTAGAAATAAGCCAGCTGAAGCATGTTATTAACAAATGGTGAGCATTTTATTCACGAGATACAGCTGTTCAGCACCTTGCATCTAATTTAACAAAAAATGGTTTTTGTCCATGGAGAAGTATAAGTATCTTTATCTTAGCTTGATATGTTTTAGAAAAAGGCATGTGAGTTAACCTTTAGTTACATGTAAAATTCCAGTTAAATCTAAGAGGGTTTATAATTGAAACAAAATAATTTATCTGCAGATTCTGTCAGTAAAAGAAAAGAAAATACAATTGGAAGATTGTACCAAAATTACTGAACGCTTTATTGTGGTGCTTCCTCAGCTCTTGGCAAAGGTAACTAACAGCTGCTCTGTGAGTGCATGTTAAATATTTCATTAAAATTCCTGCAGTGTACTCATATCTTGTTTGTTTTTTTTTTTTCTCTGCAGTATTCAACAGATGCACAAAAAGTGGCAAATCTTCTGCAGATTCCTCAGTATTATGATTTAGATGTTTACAGTACAAGACATTTAGAAAAGGTGAATAGGAGTTGGGGCAGTCAGTTCATGTGGATGTACTGAATTTGTGTGACAATGTGCAGAGTTTAGTGGGACTTGGAACAAGTAGGAGATTGCTGAAATACAAATAAATGGTGTCATACCTTGAAGAAAGTGGTCTTACTTAGGCTTTACTTTTTTATTTGGGGCTGCTGAAGAAAAGCCTTAGTGCTTGTCAGTTCTGATAGGCTGTGACTGGCCTCTGTGGGTAAATGATTTGTGGTTTCACGTGGTGGGCCCAGCCCTGGGCTTTTCTTTGTTGGGG